TGGTATGAACTGAAGATAATTAAGCAATTACAACCTAGCTTTCATGACCAAACAAAAAAGCTTAAATAATGCAAAATCTTCCTACCTCCAAATTGAAGTGATATTATAATCTAATCCCAGCAAGAAAGTTACTCAATTTATTGGAGATATTCAATAAAGCTACACACCATACGAACCATACACGTTAACTTAAGATTGCGAATTTAAAAACATCTATGACATCCAGATACTTTATGGGAAAAAATGTAATCTCTATATCCTAAGAACATTGTGGGAAGCCTGAAATTGAACCCTAATGAAAAACAAAAAAAGATCAAAGTTTCAGGGACCTTACCATCAGGGTCGACGCACTCGACTCGTGAAGCCGGCGGCGGCGGTCCAACAGCCGGATGGTAGGAGCACCGTAGGTCCAATGGTCGAGGGGACACAACACGCGTAAAAATTTTAACTTGCGGAGATGAATTGCCGGCGAACAGAGGTTAAAGTCGTGAAGAGCGGCGGCCGATTGACGAGGAAAAGCTCGCTCTGTTTTTGATGATGGGCAATTTGGGGGAAAACTGAGGAATGTACAACCGTGGTTTGTGTGTTCGTGAAAATCCGCACCAAGGCTAATCACAAGAGGATTCGGTTTAATTTCATGTTGTGTGACCCCTTGTCTTAGTGACGACGATCTCAAAGATATTAGGATTACTTTCTCTCTCCCAACCCCAATAGATTGTAATGTATTTATAAGCTACAATCAGACATCTAAAGCACTGCTTTAAATAGCTCGTCGTTATGTAGCTCGCTATTGCTCGCTATATAGTTTTTTTTTTGGAAGAAACGCGACGTAGTCTTATTTATTTAACGTTTTTTCCCGAATAGCTTACGCGAAATGTTGAAATAACACGCTTTCTTACGCTATTTTGCGCTATTTCATGCTATTTTGCGTTACATTCCGCTATATTTCTGCAACGATATTTGAACAATAAAATATTCAAAAACTGTTATTTTTTAAGGATCAGAGTCATATTTACAAATGACAACTAAAACCTAAAAATTTGGATAATGATTTCAAATTAAAAGTTTAAAAATGCAAAGTCCTAAGTTGAATAGTGCAATATTTATCGATGCATTTCAAATTAAAAGTTTAAAAATGCAAAGTCCTAAGTTGAATAGTGCAATATTTATCGATGCATTTTTGTTATATCATTTTACTTTTTGATATTTGTTAAAAAATTCATATTTGGTTAGAATTAAGTTGTAGTTAAATAAAACAATAATAATTAAAATGCATATACTTAATTATACTATTACTTGCCTCGTTATATGTTCATTGTTTGTTTTAAATTTTTAGTATATTCGACTTATAATTTAAATATTTATATTGTGATGATATGTACATTAAATATTTGTGAAAAATAATCATTAGATGTTATTTTTTAAGTCATTCAAATACTATAATAATTTTTGTAATCAACCATCCAATTTTATTATATGCAAATATATTCGTAATATCTCTATAAAAAAAATATCCAAATAGCTTAGGCAACACGCAACGCTATTTACGCTACGCAGTATAAAGAACAAAATGCGACGCCTTACGCTATACGCGTTTTAAAACACTGATCTAAAGAGGTATTAAATTAGGCTTCTCGTTTATATGTGCCTAATTGTTAGCCAAGTCCACCGAGTTTATATACGAATAATGCAGTCTCTTTGTTCCTATCTAACGAAAGGTTATTTGATCAAATAACAAAGACATTACTAAGAAAAGATGAATTTTATTGGATGAAATGCAAATTCATTTAGTCCGCGGATATTCTCAGAAAGCCCAAGAAGATACTTGGTTTTTTCTTCATTGCATCTCAATTACATCGACCTAGTAAAAGCAAAATTGGGATAAGATCCTACAGAATCTTCTCAATTACATCAACCTAGTAAAAGCAAAATTAGGCAACCGGACTTGACCTTCTCGGTTAATCATGGGTCACCAGAAGTTGATGCGCGTCGGGCGCGGTCCGGTGCTTGCGCTTCGGGGGCTGCAAGGTCGATGGCGTGTGCGTCGAGCTGCAGCGTTGGCTTACGGTGTTTGGTGCGAGTCGAAGCTGTGCAAGCGAGATCGCTGGGTCGCGTGTCTGGCGCGCGCAAGGCCGCAAGATACTCTGCGCGTCGGGCGCTGGTCGCTAGCGTGCGCGCAAAGTCTGCGTACAGGTGTCGCACGTGCTGCTGATGTCCGAAGTCTTCGAGCCGTACGCGAAAAGTTCGCCTGGGAGCTAGCGAGGCGTAGCTCGCGATCTTCACGGGCGAGGATGACACGCGAAGAGGGAGCGGGGCGTACGCTGACTCACCAGTGAATTACTCGGTCACCTCGTAACGTGCGGCTGCGGATAATGACTCGTGCGACTGGCTTACGTCGTCGGTCGTCGCGTGTGGTTGCATGCGTCAGGGCGCGATCGTCGGCGGTGTTTCACAGCAGTGGTTTCCGACGGCTTCTTGATTCGCCAGAATATTTCAAATATCAATATATGTTCATCGGGATGCTCGAAATATATTGGACCTAAGATCTTCTAATGTATGATCTTATACTCCTACTTCGAATAATATTGGTCACGCGATTAAACGAAACTCCCTAACTCTCAAGATGTGTAAAACTCGATTTTTACTCTCCCATTAGGGCTCAAAAAATCGGCCAACATACATGGCAAGAGAAGTTGGGACTTATGAGCTACATTAGAGACTTATGGAGGCGCTAAAATATGGGCTTTTCAATCTAAGATTAGGAAACATTTAAAAAGACAAATTTTTTAGACTCAGCGAAATTCTTTCAGATAATAACTCGATTTCTCTTCAATGGGAGATTGATTCTCTAGCTTTAGAGCTTCTTGTTTCCTCGTTCGTTCTTCGCTTTCTGTCTTATCTATGTCATTTTTCTTTGTTCTCCTATTTTCTTTTTTTATGTAAACCAAAAGTTTTTTTAGGCTCTAGGGTTTTTGCTGCGTGTTTTTTAGTTCTCAAATCGATGAATGGCACTACTTTAGATGGGGTGGCAGACGAATTAGGGGATAAGTTGTAATGGATTATCGGGCTTGGAAACTGGAGTAATTGAACTGGTTGGTGAGGACATACGTGCTAGTGTCGAGGAGTGCAAGAGAAGTTTATTTGGCAAAGTGGTTGGGGACAGGAGAGCAAGTTTGCTAGTAATTATGCCAACAACGGGTGCAATTTGGAAAATCAAACAGCAAGTTGAGGTAAGGGAACTGAGCCACAATGTTTTTTTTTCAGTTTACTTTTCAAAACCAGAAGGATGACAAAAAGGTATCTGTTGGGATCAACTGGGTTTATGAAAACCAATACCTCATCCTCTTTGATTGGGAAGAAAGGCTCACTGTTAATCATGTTGGGTTCAAAGAATTAAATATATGGGTTCAAGTAAAGAAACCCTAAATTGGTTGAGTACCCAAGTTGGTTTAAAAATAAGTAAACTATTTAAGAAAGTTAAGAATGTTGTTGTTGTTAAAGCTGGGGAAGAAAAGGGAGATATATTAGGCTGCTAGTAGTTATAAACCTAGCATTACGAACAGATACCCAGCATGCTAGTGGCGCGACCTGGTCCGAGAAAAGATGGACCTCAAGGATTTGCTTCTCCCCCTGATATTAGACCAGAAATCGAACAAGACAAGGGCAATTATCATCGCGCCTAAGATAAGATATTGGACCCGTGGAAGCAAGAAAGACGACAACGACAACAAGAAAGACCTCTCTCACCCTTGCCTCTGACTCCACTCCCCGCTTTGACCAAATTTCCCAACCCTTTCAGTCAGACCGGTGGAAGACCAAAGAAAATATCTGGTTTTTCCCTTGAACAAAAAACCCATTCCAAACTAGAGGATGAACCGTTTCCAAGATGTCTCCATGCGCCGCACCAACCGAGACATTCCGTGATCAGCCCCATGAAGTCGATGTCATCATCTCGCGAGCATCAAACAACCCTCATCGTTCTCCATTCACGAGTAGCCTTCGAGGAGTTCACGCCATTCGACGCTGAGGCCAAGCGTGAGCCGTCCGAGGCCTTGATATTTTTTATTAAACTAAGTATGAACGTTTTAAAATTGCGCGGACAAGTTCTCAACAAACACAAAATCAAATGGCATTGAAGATATGAACCAACGTGCTACAACTACAATGTTGACAACCTTCAATTCATACCACAACCACAACACTACAGATTAAGCCCACAATTAACAAACTAACTTGAATAGAACATTAAGTTCAACTCGTACTCAAAATAAATATAAAAAAAAATGAACAACAATTATACCTCAAACTCCATTTTATCAGATCTTGCTGATATAATTTGTACTGAAAAAGGTTGAACAATAAAGCTTCACAATTGTCGGCGCCATTAGCGTCTCCCGCCCGAACCCTAACCCATTCTCGAATTGATCCCTAACGTGACTCATGTGCAGCAGTCGAAGCTCAAGTTCACTCATCCGGTAGGAGCCCGAGACAAACACTTTGGATCATCCTCGTCGGTGTCATCTCCTTCATCAACGGATGAGATCTACTTCGCGCCTCCTTTAGCCTAAGAAGTTCAACTCATACCCAAGAAAGTTCAACGGCATCGCCATGTACTTGATCGCTGACCACGAGAAGTCAATCAACAACCAATGCATGACTACGCTGGCGACATTCATGATCAATGCCCAAGGTCTTCCCCACCAGGATGAACACAACAAGGTAAATCCTAAAAGTGCCCCAATGAATTTGTCCCGAGAATAAAAAATCGAATTGAAACCCTAGATTGCCGCCTTACTGCCTCAAGAGGTGGAATTTCACCATTAGCTAGGGGATCTCCAGTGTCCATGGCATATTCGGGGCATGGGCCTTGAAATTGGATCAGAAGAGCTTATAGTTGGAATCAATCCGTGAATAGAGTATTTTTTTGATCTTATGCCCTATTTTCTTTGAACTTGTAAATGTCTAAAATGCCCTCATATTATTAAGTTGATGGATATGTGGCATTCGTCTTATCTAAAATATTTAGTGGATGAGATCCATTCTTATTTCTTTCGCTAACACTCATTCTCACTGCAACTCATTTATTTATTCTCTTCCCTCTCTATATTAATAAGCAGGAGTTTGGGGGGTGTGCTTTTGACACGTGGCACCCTTAATGGGAAAAGCCGCTATTGGCTTCAAAACGACGTCACATTGTTCAAAAAGAAACGGCGTCGTTTAGCTTCAATTATTAAGCATTTTTGTCCTCATTTCTGCAACATATTTCCCCCGAACATGTACATTTCTCTATATCCTAAAAACATTGCGGGAAACCTAAAATTGAATCCTAATGAAAACAAAAAGATCAAAGTTTCAGGGACCTTACCATCAGGGTCGACGCACTCGACTTGTGAAGCCGGTGGCGGCGGTCCAAAAGCCGAATGGTAGGAGCACCGTAGGTCCAATGGTCGAGGTGACACAATACGGGTAAAAATTTTAACTTGCGGAGATGAATTGCCGGCAAACAGAGGTTAAAGTCGCGACGAGCGGCGGCCGATTGACGAGGAAAACCTCGCTCTGATTTTGGTGATGGGGAATTTGGGGAAAACTGAGGAAGGTACAACCGTGCTTTTGTCTCCTTAGGTGTTATTGTCTTCATCTCCTTGGTAGCGGTATGGTTTGTCTCCTTAGGTGCTATTGCTTCCATCTCCTTGGTAGTGGCATGGTTTGTCTTCTTAGGTGCTATTGTCTCCATATCCTTGGTAGTGGCATGGTTTGTCTCCATAGGTGCTTTTGAAGTGTCCTTACCCCGGGATGGTTTGGGTTTCTCGGCTTGGGCATTGGACTTTTTCACCTTTGGCTCTTCCGGATATATGTGCCACTTTTTCGAGGTGTGCCCAATTTGGTTGCAACTATAAAAAAAGGGGCGGGACATATTCGGACACACATCTTGAAAGAAGCACTCTCCGTCGTAGGTTTCCACTTCAACGTCATGTTTTAGTTCCTCGGAAACATCTATCTCAACAAGGACCCGTGCAAAGTTAAACCTCTCCTTAGATTCGGTGAGTTTATCGGTTGTGATGGGCTTTCCGATATTGGAGGCAATTTTCTCTATGGCATTTGCGTTCCAACATTCAAGGGGTAGATAAGGAAGCTTCACCCAAACGGGCACAATTTTGGCGTCATCATCTGCGAACCGAAACCATTCGGGGAGGGCCTTTAGAATTAGGCTTCTCCTGTAAATGGTATACGGGCCCCTTTCGAGCACACTATCTCGATCCTCCTTCGTTGTGAATTTGAACATTATGATGTCGGGGATATATTCGTATTTGACTTTCCAAGAGTTGCATATTTTCAACGCCTCCTTTCTGGGGTGTCTATGGGTGAAATAGACCACAAGGCAATATCCCCAAGTCATTTGGACATCATCTATATGTTTTTTTTCCAACCTGACTTTGCCCTCCGATGCTTTGGTGTAGTTGAGCTCGAGTCCATTGGGAAGGCTTACGATTATTAGCAAATAACTCATATAATGGACGTTTGGGTCGGTTTACGTTTCCTTTTTCCGTGTTCCCCACCGTAATCTCTGGATTTGGTCTCTCCAAAGAAGCAGATTTTCTTTGGGACGTTTCGTCGAGCCCGTTGTGGGCAGTTTTCATAGGCATGTTTGTGGCTTGAACTTGTTTCTCACCTTGTCCCCCTGTTTCGCAGCAGCTAATCCCACAATAATCTCATCATTAGTCACATTAACATCATCATTAACCTTCATTTTAGTCTCATTACAAGCATCATTAATGGAGCTTGTCTCGCTGGAAGGCCCTGCAAGTGATTTGTTCATTTCAGGCTGGTTCAGTTCTTCTTCAATCTCATGAATAACATCTGGGTCTTCTCGTTCATATGAGTTATCGAGCAGCAGGCGTCGAAATTTTGTTCTATTCTTGGACCTCGGCATTTTGACGGAATCTTGAAGCTCGAGTTTACTGTAGCAGCGAACTCAAATTGACGCGCAACTCTGATTTCACTCAAGTTTGATTTTTTTTTTTTTTAGTACAAAAGATGAGGAAAAGCCTAGGACCATCAGATAAGGAGGTTCCGCGGGTAAGACACGCCAATGTTGTCGTGTTGTAACCACGGAAGAACTACTGATGGGGGTCAGATAACCGATGATAATCACTCATGTTTGATTTTAATTGCAAGGAAAGCATTCGGAGTTGAATGGAATCAATTAATTAGCATCAATAATCCACAAATCATTGGCGGAAATCAAACCCGTGAATATCATTGTCGGAAATCAAGTGGCTAAAGAAATGACTCTTGGAAGCTGAAAGTCAACTCGTAGTGGCTGAATTTTATCTTTATAGATTCGGAAAAGTGGGAATTATTTCGAGGATATGGATGCAAGTGGTGAAGTCAATTGAAAAACGGATTGCGGGCTCGGATTAAGCAAGGCGGCACCGTGAAGGGTTCCACGGAAGAAGAAAATCTCTCTCTCTTTAACCTTGACTTTCCTCTATTTCGAGAATATGGATGCAAGTTTTTATAGTGCTTTGAAGTTGTTGAGAAAATCGGGTCTTAATTGCCTAAAGCGAGCCTCTTTTGCTTAAAAAAATGGGTGTTTAGAATGTTTCGATTTTTTGTAAACTTTGTTGAGGTTTAGAATGTTGTTATGATGTGATTACTATCCAGTAAAAGAGAGTTTTAAATGCCTCGAGTCATGTTTTAAAAATTTGGAGTTCAAAGGCCTTAGAAATATTTTGTTACAAATGAAATTTTTGATAAATTGCTCTAGCCTTTATTTAATGTTTAAAACCGGATATTTTGAATCCTTGAAATGTATTATTTTATATTGGTTGAAAGACATGTCGTTTGGATCGAGGAAGTTGTCGGGGGACGCCCCGATGACCTACAGAGCCTATGCGATGCGCCGCTGCGGCCAGTACCAGTCCTGATGTAGATTATTATTATTATTATTATTATTATTATTATTATTATTATTATTATTATTATTATTATTATTATTATTTAATGGCTTGGTGGACAAGTTAATGTTTAAGGTTATGGGCCTTATATAAAGGACTTCCTCTAGTTTATTTTCCTTGGTTGTTTATGAATAAAGTATGAATTATATCGTGTACTGATGTTCTTGAGATTGAGATCTCATTAATATCGTCCCACTCGTACGCTTCCCTACATCAGTTGGTATCAGAATTCAACACGATTCAAGATGCCGCTGCGGAAGGACGACATCGACGGGCATGATGCCACCATTGAGTATCCGGGTCGAGAAGCCATGTGATTCGGCCGCCAGATCAATCAATTGGATCGTCGGGTTGAGGATCTTTTGACGGGGATCGAAGAAGTGCGTCTTACGATCAACAACATGGTTGAGGATTTGCAGACGAACCGTGATGCCGGCAACCGGGGCATTCGCGGCAGAGTTCACGGAGGACGTGGAGGCCGTGGTCCATGTGGGGCGCCCCGCCGGAGATCTCCACAACCACCGTCCGCGATGAAGACGGCGAGGATACCATCTCAGAGGTGAATCCCTTCGGCGAGTGGCAGCCTCCGCACGTCGAGGCTGACCCCTTCGCTGCATACGGCGACGGTGACATGTGGCGACGGGGCCCGATCTTCGTAGACGACGATCAACGCAGCGATAGGGGCTGGCGCGAGGAGGCAGCCTTCGCTGGCGGATATCGTGCCCGACACGATTAGGGACTTGATCGCGAATATGGTCAATAGGAGGGCCCGTTTCGCGTTGACATCCCAGAATTCGACGAAGAGTAAGTTGACGGGTCATTGTACGATGGTCCACCGGTGTTTAATGAAGAACCCGGGGAGGTGAAGGAGCATCTTACCGGTGAAGTGGACAGTCTCTACGACGGTCTGCCGATTTTCGATAAGGAGCCTTCGGGCCCGGAGGAATTCAATCATATTTCGGGCATCAAAATTCAGCTATTGGAAGAATTTGGTGTTCGATTGGTAGTTATTCTATTGCGCAGGCTCAAGCTTTTCTCCTACGTGAATTTGTTGCGACCTTGCAAACAGATGTTGTGTTTTGGCTCCCACGGTGATTTCAAAATTATGTGTGTGGCTGCTGCATATAAGTGTTTTCATGACTTTCAAGGGGGTGATACCATGGGAGTGAGGCATTCAACCTTCGTGTTCGACCGAGGGAAACGACGGGAGTTACTACCATGGGTTCGACACCATACGTCCGGCACGGGTGTGCATCGGCTTCGAGAGCGAAGTCTTCCAAACCAGGGGAGAATGGTGTAGATTATTATTATTATTATTATTATTATTATTATTATTATTATTATTATTATTATTATTATTATTATTATTATTTAATGGCTTGGTGGAAAAGTTAATGTTTAGGGTTAGGGGCCTTATATAAAAGACTTCCTCTAGTTTATTTTCCTTGGTTGTTTATGAATAAAGTATGAATTATATCGTGTTTTGATGTTCTTGAGATTGAGATCTCATTAATATCGTCCCACTCGTACGCTTCCCTACATCAAGTCCCAACAGCCAGTGGCCGTGCCAATAAGCATGTGAGCTACCAATAGTCGACCGAGAGCGAGGTTGAGGCCAGCCGCAGCACCAGAACACAGCAGCCGCGCGTCTGGTGTCAACCGCGGTCTGACCCGAGCCACTGACTAGTTACCGGACTGTACCGGCCGAGTCAGAACCGGGCTAGAGGCAAGCCCAAACACAATTTTATTTTATTTTGAGCAGTTCTGAGCATCTCGAGCTATGTTTAGCATTTTTATAATTTATCATGTGCTCGTAAATGATTTTCGAGGCGAGGCTAATTACAGATTTTTAAAGTATAAATTTCGAGAACTTTTATAAAGTCCGAGTCGAGAGTTCCAACATCTAAGATAGAGCATAAAGTCTATAAGTCATGAACCTTAAGCTAGACAATCCTTCAATTGGTAAATTTAATTACCGAGTCAGAATTAGTTATTTATCCGAGTATCGCTTAACTCATGTAGATTCCGAGGAGTCGAGCCCTCGAGTTTCCATATAAGCACAACTCATCTCAGTACCAGATCCAGAGTATCCAGGTAAGGAAGTCTATCTAGTATATCATTCTGATTAAACTTTGTGATATTTTTGTTTGCCGTTATTTGCATGAATTATGTGTTTCCAGATTTCAATTTTCAGTTATATACCGGACGGTTGATCACGTACGATATGAACATCTATATTTATAGTTGTTCTCAGATCAGATATGTCGCATGATAGCTAGTATCCCGAGGAGCAGTACTCCGAAGGGCTAAGTAGACAACTAGTGCACCTGAGGGGCAATACTCCGATGGTTGCTAGAACTTCAATTGCACCTTAGTACTGCTTTGATTGCTAGAACTTTATTTGAAACCATTGTTTGTGTATTATATCTTCTTACTACGGTATCTTTTGTTTAATTCGAATATTCGTACTATATAGACTCCAGGTGAGCCCGTTGATTATTATTATGCTCCCCCC